CTTTTCTCCCTGAGTCACTAGAAAGCAGCCCACCAATGAAGCCATCTCCATCACGTTCCACTTCCAACCCCTCATACTATGTGGGGTCTATCCTCAGTGATTAGGTACCATCTCCAAACCCTTTGTATATATGGATATAGATCTTTTTTTCACTTTGCATTTTGCTTGTTTTATTTTGCACGCCTTTCTCATGCTTTATAACACAAGGGACTGTGTTATTTAAGTGTGAGGGAAGAGTTTTATGTTTGCTAATCATGTTTTCTTTGATCTTATTTTCTATTTTGAGTCTTGAGTCTCATTCATTCATATAGTTGCATCTAAGTGCATATAAAAAAACCAAAAAAAAAATCGAAAAATCAGAAAACTTTTCACAAAAAAATGTTCATTCTAGTTGCATTCACATTTTTAGAATTGAGTCTTGTTGCGTAATCATATAGGTTGCATAATCATATAGGTTGCATCATTGCATGGTAGTAATGATAGATTTTTTTTTTCCTTGAGAAAACATCACTTTGAGAATTTAGTTCATGGCCCAAGTTGTTAGTTCGTTTATGCTTACGAGACTTGAAAAGATTTGGATCTGTGATACAAGCTTAAATTTAACTCAGCTCTAGCAAGTGAAAACCTTAAACTTGATTTGAAAATATATTGTGATGCATTGTTTGAATAAGCTTGTGGGTACTTATATACATATTTGGGCTAGAAACCCATTTTTACCACCCTTTTCCTTACCTCAAATAGCTGAATCCATACTTTGGATTAGTTTCCACACCCTGAACCCAACCTTCCTTCAAGCCAAATGTTTGTGAGTGATTGAGAGCCCACCTTGAATCAAACTTAGCAGAAAGTGTTAGGTTTAGAGCGACAAGGGCAAGCCTTATGGTGTTTAGTTCCATCATCAAGGAACTGAGAGGTTTTGGCAAGAATCAAGTGTGGGGGAATGGTCTGTTGGTGAGAGTTTAAAAGAGAGATGTGTGGAAAGTGAAGAGTGGTGAGATCAGCATTCCGGGAGTTATCGGCAATTCCCTGTACTGCAGGAAGCAAGTTATCGGCCAAAACGCCTACCGGGTGAATTCTTATCGGCCAAAACGTGTACCAGGTGGAGAAATTTTTATCGGGTGATGATTATGGTCTGATCGTACAGCCATCGGCTAAAAATCATGGTCAGATGGAGTTTGGCTCGGTAAAATGCTGTACCGGATGAGGAGACTATCGGCTAAATTTTTATGCCGAGGGAGTTTTTTTTTTGACAGCTAAAAAAGCTTACCGTGGTACATGAAGACTCGACCAAAATATCCGGTTCCCGATGCACATCAAAGATCAGCCGTTTGGGGAGTCTTAACATCCGATTTGGCTTCTGGGCTCTTCATAAAATTTGAAGGATTCAGCCATGGTTCCAGAAAATTTGGAATCAGTGCATTCGGATCAGTGAGCTGAGAGTTATAGCCATCAGGAGATGTGTCCGTCTCGCTTCCATTCTAGACCTATCCGATGTGCTTTAAAGGTTACGCTGGGTGATGCTCTTCCTCTCCGATTCAGTTTTTGGGGCCTTCATCAAGATTCAAGAACTTTGAGTTGTTTTTCCATAACACTTAAGATAATACGATTTGGAGCTCTGAGCTGGGAGATATTGTTTCTGGAGTGAACATGGGTCCAGAAATCTCTTTCTGACCGTTCCGATACACTGTAAAGATTGGCCGTCCGAGACACCTTCCACTCCCCGGATGCAAATCAGTTCTTCACCAAAGTTTGAGCTGTTTGAGTGATCTTTCACGTGGAATTTGTTTCATATTATTTGGAGTTGTGAGATGAAAGTTACAAAAAGCAGAAGACACACATATCAGTTCGAGTTTCAAGGAGCAAATTTGTGCTAAGTGTTTCACAAGAACCTCGGCTTGGCCACCTCGGGGTACCTATACCGAGGGTCATATTCACGAAATTTTGGTCTCTACCTCGACCATAAACCTCGTCATAGCCCAAGCCGAGGCATTTTGTCATCATAAACACCTCCTGAAATGACTAAGTGTCAAAGCTGTGTTCTTCGAAAATCAAGAAATTCTGCTAAGTGTTAGAAAATAACCTCGACTAAGGTACCTCGGTATGGCTTTACCAAGGCTATTTTTACGAAACATTTTGTCAAGCCTTGGTCATTTACCTCGCCTGGAGCCATACCAAGGCTTTGCATGAAGAAGGTTCAAGAGCATGAATTTGGCTAAGTGTTTGGAGGCCTCGGCTTAAGACCCTCGGTACAAGGTCAAACCGAGGTATGCTTCGAACATATTGGTCCAAGCCTTGAAAAAACACCTTGGCACAGCTCATACCGAGGCTTTCTCATACACATCAGCTCACAAAGACTTCTCTGATCACAACCTTTTCACGTGAAGATCAAAGACAAGGATCCGCACATGTTCTTGAGATGTTCATGCATTTCTAGCCCAGATGCAAGACACCCTCGCCATAAAGACCTCGGCACAAGACTTGTCTAAGCCGACGGTCTGACCCAAAGACCCAGCAAGATCGGTTCAGTACCCGGTTTGTTCCAGGCTGATCCAGTTCTGTTTTAAAATTTATAAATACTATTTTGGCAAAAACCTAATTATCTTTATGCCATTTTCGTTTTCCTTTGGCTCTTTAGTATAAAAACCTTGGTTCTAAGAGATATCTCTGATTTCTTAATCGATTTTAAGAGTGTTTCTTTGCATCAAATCATTTCTCCATCTCATTCAAAGCTTCTTAATCATGCTTAACATCACTCCTTTCAAAAGATCAAGTGTGTTAACTATGATTAGTGAGTAGATCCATTTTAAGGTTTTAGATAAGTATGTTAGGATTCTAAGATGTTAGATTAGAGAGTTTAGGGGTTAGATCTTGCATCATCCATTCTCTAACAAGCTGTTCTCAAAGCTAGATCTTTGCACATCACTCTGGTCTAGATCTTAGGCATTTCACCACCGAAAAGGTGTTTGTAGAAATGCCTGAACCAAGCTTGTTAAAGGTTTAAGTGTTTTTCATCATGAGAATGATTGTTTAATGCTTAAATGACTTATTATACTGATTCTTAATGCTTGTTAATTCATGCTTCTCAAATGGAAATTTGGTATGAAAGAGGATTAGCATTGGATTTTAATGCCTTCATGAGAGGATTATCTTACTTAAGAGTCTATGTTAAATAGTTTTGCTTGATTGTTTGTTCATTTAGCTCTCTAGTTTAGCATTAAAACACCCTAACCATCTATCTTGTCTAAGACGTTTCCCTCATCATATTCATATCATCATCACATGTTTATTGTTATTGCTTGCTTTAATTTACATTAATCATTTGTCATTGTATTGTTTAGTTTTCAGTTTAAGCACTTGTTATCAATCAAATCACTCATATTGCTTGAATTAAGAAACTATCTCATAGATAAGTGTCTAAACAACATTGTTGGATTCATAACCCTTTATTCTACAACTGATAAAGGGGATTGATAACCTCCTTAAGAGTCCCAAAACTCTTAGTTATCAGTGGTAACTTTCTGTATGATATTTCCACAACAGCGTTTCAGTTTTTGCGCATCTTACATTCATAGCTTGCAGTTCTTCCAAATGCAACCTGCTTTTCCTTAAGATAGTTGGTGATGCACTATAGGTAAATGTTAAGAAATCTACTACTATACTAGCTTTGCATCTACTCAACATATGGATTCAGAACTGCTGTATTCATGAGGATACTGTTGAGCTATGTCTTCCTCTTTATCTGTAAGAGTAACTTTTGTAGCTTTCTACAGAGGTCTGCCTTCAAGGACAGGTTGATCTGCCTCAGTATCTTAATTATGATTAATTTCTTCTTGAATTTGTACACATTTCTGTAGAAACTTCAAACAAACTACCATGCATTCACCAGCCATACACGCTTCTAGCCTTGCAAAATTCTTTACATATGCCTTAAGTGTCTTCATATACCTACATATCAATTAAAAAACTTATTACTTACCACCAGTATACTATTAAAGTATATAACAAAAAAAAAATAATACCTTTCCAAAGGATACATCCATCTGAAGTTTACAGGCCCACCCAAACGTGCTTCCCTTGCTAGATGTATTGGAAGATGAAACATGATGTCAAAAAGTGAAGGCTCTATAATTGGCACATTTTTCCCACAACCTCTGATTCTAATGCTAGAACCTTCTCTGGATCAATAACACATTGACATAGTCTATTGAAATAATTACAGAGATGAGTCAGTGCACTCCTAGGCCCTTTTGGCAGTAAACCTCTAAATGTCACAAGAAACAAATTTTGCATTAGAACATGATGGTTATGTGATTTTATAATACCAATAATAGGAGGATCAACTGAAACACAGTTAGAGATATTTGCACAATATCCATCAAGGCCTCTGATGTGGATAACATTTTGAAAAATCTACGTTTTCTTCCTTAGAAAGCCAATATGCAGCTGGAGATAAGTAAGTTTTCGTAGAAAATCACGTTGGCCATCAATGCGCTGAAGAATATAGTGACGTTCGAATTCAAAAAGCATGCGAAGAAGTACACAGTCGCCGAATGTCCATCAAAGATATGTGATTGGAGAGTGTTGGGGTGTCAAGTTGGCGAGTTGGCGAGTCGGCGTTGTATGAGGTGAGGAAGGCGTGTTTGAAGCATACATGCCACCCGGACACAAGAAAGAAATTTTCAAAACATGCTACTTCTAAAGTCATGGCGGCTTTGCTGAAGTCTAAGTATGAGAATGCAATAGTTGGGCCACGTGCGAGTCAGCTACCTGCGATTGTTCTCTCCGAATATAATATTACAGCCTCGTACTGGAAATGATGGAAAGCTAAGGAGCTGGCTATATACTCTGCTCACGGAACAGAGGAGACTTCTTTCAAATTATTACCGATTTACCTCCATGTGCTCAAGTATGCTAACCCCGGCACCATAACGCATTTGATAACCGAGAGCAAGAGAGATGAAAAAGAAGGAAAATGTATTACCAGGTTTAAGTCCGTATTTATGGCATTGGCTGCGTGTATATCTGGATGGAAACATTTGAAACAAGTAGTTGTTGTTGATGGGACTCACCTCACTGGTAAGTATAAGGGTTGTCTATTAACGGCCAGTGGACAAGATGCTAATTACCAGGTATTTCCAATAGCGTTCGCCGTTGTTGATGCAGAGTCTGACAAGACGTGGAGGTGGTTCTTTGAGAAGTTGTTAGAAATAATTTCAGATTCCTCTGATCTTACTATTATCTCAGGTAGGCACGGTGGAATTGCCAAAGCTAAAAAGAAATGGTATCCACAGTCACACCACGGTGCATGCCTTGTCCATATCCAGAGAAATGTTCACGCTAAATACAAAGGTTCCGGTCAGAAAGGGTTGGTGGGAAAGGCTGGAGAAGCGTTCACAGTTTTTAATTTCAAGAAACTATACGCAAGGCTGAAGGATGTTTATTATGGTTGTTGGGAGTACATGGAAAAAAACCCTCTTGCGCTGTGGACTAGATCACACTTTTCTGGTCAGAGGTATAATCTGACCTCCAGTAACATTGCAGAGTCTCTGAACAATGCACTATTAGCTCCCAGAGACAGTCCAATTGTTGCAATGCTAGAATTTATCAGGCGAATGTTAAGTAGGTGGCTTGAATGCAGAAGAGAGACCATTCAAAAGATGGATGGTGACGTTACAGAAGAGGTTGACAAGTTAATGAACCTGCAGCAGCAAAAATCTGCTGCACTTTCGGTTCAAGGCATTTCTTTGTGGGAGGTTGAAGTGAGTTATGAGTTCGGTGTACGGAGGCTTGTTAATCTCCTAAACAAAACATGCTCATGTCTAGAGTTTCAGACATTGAAATACCCTTGCTGACATGCAATGGCCGCGGCTAGGCTTCGCCAAGTGGAGTACACCAGTTTGGTTGATCCAATTCTTAAGAAATCAATTTGGAGTGCAACAGTTAGTGGCAAAATCCTACCAGTGCCCGACCCTGACGACATTCGTATCCCAGCAGAGGTGCGTGAACTTAATATTATGCCACCTAAGGCAAAACGTCCATCAGGAAGGCCTACGACAAAGAGGAAACTTTCAGCAGGAGAGTATCCTCAGGTTAGTGTACACTAAACATATATTTTTTCCCCGGTGATACTGATTACTGATTAATGATTACTGATATACGCTGTTGCAGGTTGCGAAAAAAAAGAAGCCAAACAAATGCTCTAGATGTGGAAATGCCGGCCATAACCGGGCAAAATGCAAGGAACCATTGGGTTGACCGGGTGTGGCTATTGTGTGTCTCTTGATGTTTTTTTTGTGGGGATGTTGCTTTGTTTTTTGGGTTTGTTTGTAGCGTACACTATGTTTCCCTATATTTAAACTTGGAAAGGCATGAACTATGTTTAATTTTTTATGAAATTTATGATGTTTACTGGTCAGGGTTTAGGGTTTAGCCGGTGGACATGTTGCTATGTTTTTTCGGGTTTGTTTCTAGCGTGTACACCCTTGACGGTGGACACTGTTTGTGTACACTGTGATGGTGGACAACATCAATCAGTTTACATCATATAGTGTATTTGCATTTATGGCTTATGTATAAGTTTACATTTATATGGTTTAGGATATAAAATTAAGTTATGGACGTTAAGGGTTATGGGTTAGGGTTTAGGCTTTAGGGTTTAGGGCTTAGGGTTTACGATGAAGGCTTTAGGCTTTATCTTATTAAGGAATCAAAATAATTAGAACAGGCATGGATCTGGATCAAAATAATTATCAAAGACATGGTTCTATAGCAGAGAAAGAAAACTTTATGAAAGACATGGATCTGGATCAAAATAATTATCAAAGACATGGTTCTATAGCAGAGAAAGAAACTTTATGAAAGACATGATTCTGGATCAAAATAATTATCAAAGACATGGTTCTATAGCAGAGAAAGAAAACATTATATAGAAAACGGACAATGATCGTGTCTTTGAATTGAAATTGTAGGACAGGACAACACGAGTAAACGGTTTTTTCAAAAAGCAAGTCATTACAATTTTGAAAATCGCAATAATGAAAGCAGTGTCTGAGTTCAAAAAAATCAAATTGGAAACGACAAAAACTAGTTAAGTACCTTTTTTGAAACCTGTTGCACCGTTTGACCGACTCGTTTCCCTTCTTTACTTTATAATGTTTTTCCGGTCGTCCTCTATAAAAACTGTCCCCTGCCTTCTTCAGTGAAACAAGTTTCCGGAGACAGAAAAAGTTAATAACAGCAAAAGTTACTTACTTTCTAAACATGTACTCTGCGAAAGTGGTCTCATTGCAATTGAAGGAAGTGGAGAGGAAAAACAGTCCATGTTTCAGTACAGGTATTTGATGGTTAATTTGTAAATAGGGCATTAGTTAAGTTTTAGTTTTACAGGGTCGGTCTTTTACATCGTCTACCTAATTAGTGGTTTGCCGATTTCATTAGGACCTGTGGGTGAGGACTTGTATCACTGGGAAGCTATCATAACGGGGCCTAAAGGTTCACCCTATGAGAATAGTGTTTTCAAAGTAGACATTCACTTTCCGCTTGACTACCCTTTCGCGCCACCTAGGGTAAGGAATGAAGCATATGATTGCTCTCTAAAATTGCTGTATTTTTAGGGTTTAGGATTTAGTCAATAAAGATTTCAATTACTAATAACACTTATATTTTTCAGGTGATGTTCAAAACAAAAGTGTATCACCCAAACGTTAATACTTATGGGAACATTTTTCTGGAGATGTTGAACCCAACTCACTTCAGGACCAACAACAGTATCAATGATGTATTTTTACACATGAAAGAAATAAATCGTTATTGTCTTTTAGGGAATATAATATAGTAATTCCGTTTAAATAAGGGCTTACCTGTGTTTACATGTATATGTAATCAGGTACTGACGGAAATACACCAAATGTTTACTGCCCCCCCAAATAGGCGAAGGACACTTTTTTGTTGAAGAAATTGCTAGGATTTACGTGGAAGGCAGGGCTGCTTTTGAAACCACTGCACTTGCGTGGACGGTGGAGCACGCCGGAGGAGCATAAACTCCTTAATTGTACTTTTAATTATGTTTGTTGAATTGTGTATTTTGTTTAGGAAAAAAATAAGACCTCTATTTTGTTAGCGTGTAGTTGGTTGGGAAGTTTATAACTTCATATTAACTTTTTAATATCATTTTGTGGTTTTTATGTTTTGGATTTGATAAAATGTCGAAGCATAAATTGTCCAACGATTTCATGAAACATAAATCATGGAATATTAATTCAAAGATTGTTCATTACATACTAAAAAGGAAATATATGTGTACACTTCATATAGTGTACATATACTCGTGTACACTTGCAACGGTGTACAGCATAAACTTATTTTTAAAGCTTTTCGCAGATACGCCTACCACACCAATATATGAAGCAACCATTGCAAAGTACTCGGATCTCAGGTTCGAAATGATCAAATGCACAATCAGGCAGCTTGATGACGTCGTCGTTTGGATATGAAAATGAGTTTGAGTACGTATCCATGTATGCAGTTCCGTAATATGAAATCTCAAGAATTAACTCCTCACCTAATTGTCGCACGCGCTCTGACTGTAGACTTCCGTGATGCGTTGCCAACAGCTGCAATGTTTGGCTTGCGGAACAAGGGTCACCCAAGCAAACGCTGTACATGGCGGATGCCAGGGTCGAGAGAGCGTCGGTGGGAACATTTCATTCCAGCATGGTCCTACTTGCAATGAGATCTGCGCCTCTTGTTGCAAGTCTCAGGCCTTCCGAGTATCTTGCCTCAGGGTTTCCACACGCCAAACATCTCAGAAAGAATGGGCGTCTTTCATTTCCAGGGCATATGTCGTTGGGGACACAGCAAAGGGCATAAATGTTGGAAGCTTTGAGGACATCGTCGGTGAAAACAAGCCGGAGGGTGCGCTTTCCAGCGCGCACAAATGGTCCGAGTCGCCAAAATTCTTCACTGCCGAGCCTCTTCAGGATTTCGATAAGAATTTCATCAGGCAAGTCTGGGAGCGATATGTTCGGGTTTAGGGTTTGTTATGTTTGGTTTAGGGTTTTTTTTCGGTGGAAAGGATGCAAGTTTTGGTAAGACAAAGCGAAATCATCATATATGGACTTCACTGGTGTGTGGTTGGGGGGTGGAGAATTTATTATACGGTTGAAAATAATATAATAGTGTACTTCCTTTTAGTAAATATCTCACCTACCCGTTTTGTACCTCCAATTTTTTGGAATAATGTTCAGTTCTCTTTTATTAAAGTGCCCGAAACTACTAGTTACATTTATAATGTAGTGCAACGTGTTGGGGTCAGTTTAGCAGTTATTGAAGTGGCTCTTATCTGTATACCAACCACGAATTAGGACATTTATATATCTATCCACCTTGTCTACAAATAAAGCGAATCAAATTTATTTCTCACCAAAGTGAAACAACAATGCACTACTTAGACGATGATGTATTAGGGTTAATAGTAAAAAACGTAGCTGAGGATGATTCCTATCATCTTGGCCCCTTTATTCGCGCAGGAAAACGTGGAAGAGCCATCGTGTTCACCGACGACGTGTTACGCTCTGCAGACATCTCTCGATTGGTTGACTCACCGCTCGACGTATCCCCTAGGAGCCGTCACCGCCCATTCTTTGAGCGTTGTCTTGGCGCCTGTAATCCACGAGCTATTTATTTCGAAGCCATTAGAGTTGCCGTGAGTGAGCAAAGATTGTATTCAGCGATTACAATGCTTAACCGACTTGTCCCATGTGATAAACATGCTACTTTCGCATGTGCCATGTTTGAAATTTGCGTCGGTCGTCCACGAAGGGCTAAAAAACTCCTCACCTATGTATTCACTCACCACGTCCCTTATGCGGCTAATGAAATGAAGCTGTTAGTGCACGCCGTTATACGTCACGTATGAGAGTTCGCACTGGGGCCGTTTCAAGATCCGTGGGGTAGCCTTTGGTCCTTCCCCATCACCCTACAAGAAGAACCTGTATCGGAGTGTGTAGATGACCATTACGATGGCTCAAATACACCAGACTGCGAGTATTGCCTTCTACAATGCACGGCTCTGGGCATAAGATATTTACTTTAGTTTAATTATTTAAATTGCAAGTGGTTGTTTTATTTTGTAATAAATTCAAGGTGGAAACTAAGTGAAAATCACTTGGCGATTGATGTTGTAACAAGTAGCTACTAACAACTTAACTAGTTGTAACAATGTAACTACTTCTTTAATTTCTGTAGTTGGTAAACATCACTTCACAAACTTATTGTAATATTACTTCTGTTCAACTACACACTAATTGTCTTACCATTAACTATTTCTCAACAACAACTACCCATGGAATTCAATATATAGTTTCATAAAATTGCGCAGAAAGTTCACCCTACACAAACCTTACACAAACCCTATATCCTTCCCAAAAAATGCCAGATTTACCAGATTTACCAGATCATATTTTCGAAATCATTGTGAAGAAAGTTGCTGAGTCTGACTGCATCGACCTTGGACCGATTATTCTGGCTGGGACCCGTGGTAGAGACATTGCGTATAGCGCGGAAGTACTCAGATCGGCATACCTATGGACATTGCATGACACACCATCTCGGATATACCCTGGTGGAGTATATCGGCCTTTATTCCTGCGCTGCTTAGCGTCGAGAAATCCACGGGCCATATTGGTCGAAGCTATAAGGTTCGTGTCAACAGAGGAGAAGATCTACACCGCCATCAGGATGCTAAATAAGCTCATGCCATCAGACGTCTATGCGACTTACAGCTGTGCGATTTTGCAAATGTGTGTGGGTCGCCCTAACAGAGGGAAAAAACTTCTGAAGATGGTTTTCATGT